CCATGCATCTAACCCATAGACTAACTTTTAAAAGCAGCTAGGGTGTGGGGATAGAGTACAGGTAGTCCTCATTTAGCGACCGTAATTGGGACTGGCGATTTGGTCATTAAGTGAAGTGGTCGCTCAATGACACCACAACTGTGTTTCTGACCTCACCAGGTTTCCTTTGTGTGACAGAAGGCCATAAATGTGAAGACCGGTCGAAAAGCTACGTTTCCAATACCACTTGTGAATGGTCGCTAAATGAGGCAGTCACTAAACAAGAACTACTTATATTTATAGGACCATCTTCTCTTTATACCAAGGGCCCATTTCAACCCATCTGCTAGCCAAATTTGGTTGTCTCCCACTTTTCCCTTTTTTTCACTCCTTCCTCCCTGATTTTTTTCCCTTTTGATTTTTTTCTTCTTTTTATATCGGTAGTCCTCGACTTGCAACCGTTCATTTAGTGACCGTTTGAAGTTACAACAGCAGTGAAAAATGTCACATGACCGTTTTTCACACTTTATGACCGTTGCAGCATCCCCGTGGTCACGTGGTCAGACACGTGGCAACTGACTCATATTTATGACGGTCGCAGTGTCCCAGGGTCGTGTCATCCCCTTTTGTGACCTTCTACAGGCAAAGTCAATGGGGATTCACTTAACAACGGTGTTACAATCAACTGCAGTGGTTTACTTATCAACTGTGGCAAGAAAGGTCTTAAAATGGGGCAAGGCTCACTTAACAACTGTCTTGCTTAGCAACGGAATTTTGGGCTCAGTTGTGGTAAGTTAAGGACTACCTATATTTTATCGTTCACTGAATCTCCAGAAAGTTGGGGAAGAAAAAGTAAATGCAAAGATTGGTCATTAAGTTGCTTTTCGATCACTGCTGTAACTCTAGTTGGTCACTAAACGAGGACAATATGTATGGGATTAGCATTTCACTTCACCTCAGTCAAATCCCCAGAAGACACTCCGGGTATGAAAATAATCCAGGTTTCAAAGCGACACAATAAGAAATTCTGGTAATGCAAATTCAATACTGAAACCAAGACAGAAGTATATCCGATTCTACCTTTCAGTCATGGGGCTTCTAAAATTATTTTTCGTCCTGTTTTTCCCTCTAAGAAACTGTTCATAAGGCTACAGTTATGTCCTCGATTTACGGCCACGATTGAGCCCAACATTTCCATTGCTGAGACCTTTGTTAAATGAGTTTTACGAGCCTTTTTTTTTTTTTTTGCCAGAGCTGTTAAGTGAATCAATGCAGTTGATAAGTTAGTAACCCAGTTGTTAAGTGAATCTGGCTTCCCTGTTGACTCAAATGACCCTGGGACACAGCAACGGTCCTAAGTATGAACCAGTTGCCAAGCGTCTGAATTCTGATCACACGGCCATGGGGATGCTACGAAGGTTGTTAAGTGTGAAAAATGGTCACAAGTCACTTTTTTCAGTGCCGTTGTAACTTTGGTCACTAAACGAAGAGTTGTATAAGTCAAGGACTACCTGTATTCCATTTTCTTTTTTAAAAGAGCCCTAAGAAGATAGGGATACTGGCCAGGCCAAGAATACGCAGGATACCCTGTTTCCCCCAAAATAAGGCATCCCCTGATAATAAGCCCATTTGGGCTTTTGAGTGCATGGCAATAAGGCCAAGTGCTTATTTCAGGGTTCAAAAAAATATAAGATAGGGTCTTATTTTCGGGGACACATGTTATCTATCTATCTGTCATCTCTCTCTCTCTCTCTCTCTCTCTCTTAATCTTCCTCTCCCTCCCTCCTTCCCTCCCTCCTTCTCTCTCTCTCTCTTATCTTCCTCTCCCTCCCTCCTTCCCTCCCTCCTTCTCTCTCTCTCTCTCTCTCTCACACACACACACACACACACACCTGTTTTCCCCAAAATAAGACATCCCCTGATAATAAGCCGAATCGGACTTTTGAGTGCATAGCAATAAGGCCAAGCGCTTATTTCAGGGTTCAAAAAAAATATAAGACAGGGTCTTATTTTCGGGGATACATGGTCTCTCTCTCTCTTTCTCTCTCTCTCTCTCTCTCTCTCTCCCCTGTTTCCCCCAGAATAAAACGTTCTCTGATAATAAGCCCAATCAGGCTTTTGAGCACATGGCAATAAGGCCAAGAGTTTATTTCAAGGTTCAAAAAAATATAAGACCAGGTCTTATTTTCAGGGAAACATGGTATCTATATATCTGTCATCTCTCTCTCTCTCTCTCTCTCTCTCTCTCCCTCTCCCTCCTTCCCTCTCTCCCCCCCGTTTCTCCCAAACTAAGACATCCCCTGATAATAAGCCCATTTGGGCTTTTGAGCGCACGGCAATAAGGCCAAGCGCTTATTTCAGGGTTCAAAAAAATATAAGACCGGGTCTTATTTTCAGGGAAACATGGTATCTATATATCTGTCATCTCTCTCTCTCCCTCTCTCTCTCTCCCTCTTTCTCTCTCCCTCTCCCTCCTTCCTTCCCTCCCTCCTTCTCTCTCTCCCCCCCCCGTTTCTCCCAAACTAAGACATCCCCTGATAATAAGCCCATTTGGGCTTTTGAGTGCATGGCAATAAGGCCAAGCGCTTATTGCAGGGTTCAAAAAAATATAAAACCGGGTCTTATTTTCGGGGACACATGGTAGTACCTTTTCCTTTTTTTCAAATTATACATCCAGCGTTTTTAAGTTTCAATATTTCAATTTTTCTACTACCCAGAATCTCTCTCTGCGAGGGAGACGGGTCTCTTTCTAAATTCGATCAGCGTCATAAAATAAATCCAAAGGAGGATTTGAATCCACTTGGGTTCAAGGGAAAGGATCTTTCCTGCAGGCTGGGGATTCTTTTTCGAAGAATCCAGGATCGGATCACTTCCTCTGCCTTTCCACCCTTGAGGAGTCACCAAGAAAGTCGGTGACAAAGGCTGAGTAAAACTCAAAACTCGCCCTTCCTGAAGGCGCCAAGCCCAACAGCTGTCACCCGAAACAGCTTCTTCGCCACCCGTTCCAGTCCCTTCTTGGCATCCCGGCTGCCAGCTTGCCAGCTTCTGTCCGAAATATGGCACCCGGAGCAGAATGCGGAAAAAAACACCCCATCCCTTTTTAGCCCAAGCTTCCCACAAGGCCACATGCCAGGTGATCTGAGCAACACCCATGTGATGGCTGATACATGTTGCTAAACACGCCGGGGAGTCCCGAAGCCAAACCAAAACACAACACGACCCCTTTTAAGGACACGCCAAGGGAAGGCAGGAAGCCGTCTTAAAATACTTAACAAGAGCTTTGCAAAAGGAAAAAAAGGCTAAACAAAACAAAAAAAAAATAATAATCCAAGCCTTATCTTGGAAGGATAAGCTCTCCGTTGAGGTGCTCATTTACTACAGGCGGGCAGGAAAGATGCCAAAACATATACCTCCATCTCAGCTTTCCTTTCTTTCTATTACTTTATACAGGTAGTCCTCGACTTACAAACAGTTCATTTAGTGACTGTTTGAAGTCACGAAAAAGTGACTTACGGCTGTTTTTTCACATGCGACCCCCCCAGAGGTGGGTTTCATATAGTTTTACCACCGGTTCGCCGTGCACCGAAAATGTGAGAGCGCGCACGCACAGGCTTGCTTTGCGCACATGCCTTCCACATGTGCGGTTTGCATGCGTGTGTGCGGCTTAGAAAACATGGCTAAATAGGATGGCAAAGCGCCAGGGATTGCCACTACTGGTTCACATGAATCGGTCCAAACCGGTTGAATCCCCCTTTGGCCACTTTCTGATGAGCCAAGTCAATGGGGAAGCCAGATTTATATAACAACCTAGTTACTAATTTAACAACCGCAGTGGTTGGCAAGAAAGGTCGTAAAATGGGGTAAATTTCACTTAAACCCATGTCCCACTCAGCAACAAAAATGTTGGATGCAATTGTGGTCCCAAGTCGAGGACTACCTGTATTTCAAAGTTCATTTCAAATGTACCCTGTTTCCCCTAAAATAAGACCTTCCCTGATATAAGCCCAATTTTGAGCGCACACACTAAAATAAGCCCCCCTGAAAATAAGCCCCCCCCTGAAAATATTTAAATGCATGCACAGCCATTTCCTCTGGTTTCCTCCACACGCCCCAAAATAATATGACTCCCTGAAAATAAGGCCAAGCACTTATTTTGGGGTTCAAAAAAAATATAAGACAGGGTCTTATTTTTGGGGAAACACGGTGTGTATATATGTGTGGTGGCGCAACAGCTTCCCCAGTACCTGGATGAAGCTGTCTATCTAGACCCGGGCCCTGAAAACACACTTATTCCATCTAGCCGGGCTGGTTTGATCCCATCCTCTCAGTTTTAATTGAATTCGGTTTTAATTGGGTTGTTTTAAATTATTGGGCCGAAATTATTTGTTTTTTAAACTGTTTTTAAATTTTATATGCTATGTTTTATCTCGGCTGTACACCGCCCTGAGCCCCGCAGGAGAAGGGCGGTATAAAAATAAAATAAAATAAATAAATAAATAAAATATATATATATATATATATAAGCTTTAAAAACTGTTGTGTTAGATCTCCGCTTTGCAAAACGCTAAAAATGGGCACGTTTAAAAGCAACTTTTCTCAAGCTTAGTCATTTTAAGATGGGTGGACTTCAACTCCCAGGATCCCCCAGCCAGCCGCGCTATGAATTCTGGGAATGGAAGTCCACCCAGCTTAAAGTTGCTGAAATTGAGGAAGATTGCTTTAAAAGCTCCCAATCGATTACTTCACCGTAAGCTTCTAAAACAGCCTTGGAAATGAATCTTCCCCTTCAAATAGATGGGTTGGTTGAGACTGAGGTTCCCTTCACCCTCCGTCGGTGCTATGTTGGTCGTGGATGATGGGATTGAAGTCCAACCCAGTCAAGAAAGATGATAACGTCAGGTCCAATGAATGCTTCTTCCAACCTTTTTTCCCCCACCCTAATTCCGGGAGAAAATGAATGTTTCTTCCCACTTTTTTCCCCCTAATCCTGGGAGGAAAGCCCCACAGAGATCGGTACTTACCCAGGTTGAATTCCCATTGTTCATTCCCAAGAGATCTTTCGGGAAGCACTTCTAAATCTAGCATTGGTTTAAACAGACCCGGCTGCCCTTCGCTGGTTCCCAATGTGAACCGTAGATCGTCCTGGATGGATGGAGAGAAAGGTGGGGGGGGGTTATCCTCATTTTCAGGTCTCACCCCAAAGCCAAGGGATGCTCTCCACCCCCCCCTCCAGCTCGGAGAGGGTCCCTTCACTCCCAAATTTTCATTTCTTGTCCTGGGAACCCTGTGGCTCCTTTCTTCACAAGAACTTTCCTTTTTTTCCCCCTCTCAATAAGGTAAAGGTAAAGGTTCCCCTCGCACATCTGTGCTAGTCGTTCCCGACTCTAGGGGGCGGTGCTCATCTCCGTTTCAAAGCCGAAGAGCCAGCGCTGTCCAAAGACGTCTCCGTGGTCAGGTGGCCGACATGACTTAACGCCAAAGGCGCACGGAACGCTGTTTCCTTCCCACCAAAGGTGGTCCCTATTTTTCTACTTGCATTTTTTACGTGCTTTCGAACTGCTAGGTTGGCAGAAGCTGGGACAAGGAACGGGAGCTCACCCCGTTACGCAGCACTAGGGATTCGAACCGCTGAACTGCCGACCTTTCGATCAACAAGTTCAGCATTTTAGCCACTGAGCCTCCGCATCCCTTTTTTCCCACCACCACCCCTTATCCCTATTTAAAGTGCGGGAGAAAAATCCCCAAACTCTTTAAAGATGCGGTATCTTGCAGCGGGCAGGCGAATTCCATAATATTCCTCTCCTTCACGGATACTGAGACACAGGGATTGTGTTCACAAGTGACAGGCAGATAATCTGGCTTGTTTGTTCTCTCCTCTCCCCCCGCCTCCCTCCCTTTTGTCCCTCTGCCAGGAGTAAAAGTGAATCTAATCGATTCCTCGCCTGCCTGCCTGCCAAAGTTTGGGATAATCTTTTTCCCAGCCATGGACAGACCCTGAAACCAGAGAGGGAATTCCCCAAGCGGCAAAAAAACACCCCAATCAAGGGGCCTAAATGGCTTAGCGGCGACGTTCGCACAACCTTCCGGACGACTCGCTGGTCGTGTGAATGCACAAGTCCACGTCTTGTGCAAAATCCAGGGAAAGGGGCGGATTCCACACCACCTGGCAATGTTCAGAGTTGAAGGGGTGCGAGGAGCCTGACCGTCTTCAGAAAGTCAGGCAACCCCCACCCCCAAAAAAGATAGTGTTGGAATACAGGTCCCAGCAGCCTGCCTGAGAGAGGAGGGGAAGAGGGAGGGGGAGAGGGAGAAAGAGAGAGGTGGAGAGAGAGGGAGAGAGAGAGGAAGGGAGGGAGAGAAAGACAGAAAGAGAGGGGGAGAGAGAAAGGGAGAGAGAAAGAGAGGGGGAGAGAAAGGGATAGAGAGAGGGGGAGGAGGGAGGGAGAGAGAAAGAGAGGGAGAGAGAGAGAAAGAGAGGGGAGAGAGAGAGGGAGGGAGACAGTAAGAGGGGCAGAGAGAGAGGGGCAGAGAGGGAGAGCGAAAGAGAGGGAGAGAAAGAGAGGAGGAGAGGGAGAAATAGAGGGAGGAGGGAGGGAGAGAGACAAAGAGAGGGAGAGAGAGAGAAAGAGAGGAGAGAGAGAGAGGGAGGGAGAGAGTCAGTAAGAGAGGGGCAGAGAGAGAGGGGGAGAGAGGGAGAGCGAAAGAGAGGGAGAGAAAGAGAGGAGGAGAAAAGGAGAGGGAGAAATAAAGGGAGGAGGGAGGGAAAGAGAGAGGGGAGAGAGGGAGAGAGAGAAAGAGAGGGAGAGATAGAGAGGGGGAGAGAGAGAGGGAGGGAGAGAGAGAGAAAGAGAGGAGAGAGAAAGGGAGAGGGAGAATGGAGGGAGGGAGAGAAACAGTAAGAGGGGGAGAGAGAGAAAGAGAAGGAGGGAGGGAGAGAAAGAGGAGGGAGAGAGAAGAGGATGCTGGGAATTGTAGTTTTCCCACACCTGGAGGACCACTCTTCTCTCCCATGAGAAGGATGGGGAGGGGGGGGATGCTACCTGTGGGGGTTAATCCCCTCCTGGCCCCACTGTGTTTTAGCAGGGACAATAGCCCCCCCTCCCCCTCGCCCCAAGCCCAGGAAATGCCCCCCACCCCCACCCCTTGATTTATGTAAGCCTGGGGCTGCTTCAGCCCTGCGGACCCCCCACCCCACCCCCCCAAATAAGAGTCTGCATTAAGACAGGCCTCCCCTATTAAGCGGGGAGGGGGCCTTCTCCCTCCCCTCCCCCACCCCACCCCGGGCTGCCTTTCCCCAACCTGGCGCCCTCCGGAGGCTCGGCTGGGAACGATGGGGGGTGTAGTGCGAGGCTGGGGGAGGGGAGAAAGGCGCAGCTGCCCCCTCCCAGAAGCCCACCCCCCTCCCTCCCTCCCTTTCTTCCTCCCCCTCCCCCTCCCCCTCCCGGCGCCCCCCTCCCCAAAGGCTCTCTTTCTCTCTTTCCTTCCTTCCTTCCTTCCTTCCTTCCTTCCTTCCTTGGGGGAGGGGGGGTCTCCTCCTTGCAGCCCTGCGAAGGCTCCGGGACCCCCTCCCCGCCCTCCCCGGGGGTGGCTGCCGTCCGGGCGGGGGGGGGCCGGGGGCAGGGGAGGGGAGGGGGCGGCGGGGCTGCGACTCACCTCACTTGCGGCTGCCGCAAAAAGCATGAAAATCGCCGCCGCCGCCGCCAGCCCAGCAGGGGAGGGGAGGGGAGGGGGGAGGGAAGGGGGAGGAGGAAGAGGAGGGGGCAGGGAAGGAGGAGGGAGGGAGGGGCCGCGCCTGCGCGCTGAGGGGCCCTCCGCGGAGAGAGCCCCGCCCGGACTCAGGGGCGTCCCGCCTCCCTCCCTCCCGGGAGGAGAACTAACTGCGCATGCTCAGAGGTCTCTCTCTCTCTCTCTCTCTCTCTCTCTCTCTCTCGACTCCGCGATGGAAAAGAGGTTCGTTTTTTTTTTTTTTCCTTTCCTCCCTCCCTGCAATCTGGAGGGAGGAGAAGCCCTCTGCACGTGCTCAGGGGCACTTCCTGCGCCTCCTCCTCCTTCCTAGGGGAGAACTCTGCACATGCTCAGAGGTCTCTCTCTCTCTTCTCCAGGGTGGAAAGGCTCATTTCTCCCCCCTCCCTCCCTGCAATCTCCAAGGAGGAGAAGCCCTCTGCACGTGCTCAGGGGCACTTCCTCCGCCTCCTCCTCCCTCCTGGGGGAGAACTCTGCACGTGCTCAGAGGCCATCCCATCTCTTCTTCCCTCGGTGGAAAGGCGGCGCCTTTCCCCCCCCCACCCCCTCCCTCCCTCCCTGCAATCTCCAGGAAGGAGAAGCCCTCTGCACGTGCTCAGGGGCACCTCTTTCCCCTCCTCCCTCCAGCGGGAGAACTCTGCACATGCTCAGAGGTCTCTCTTCTCTACGGTGGAAAGGAAGCTTCCTTTCTCCCCCCCCCCCCCAATCTCCCGGGAGGGGAAGCCCTCTGCAGGTGCTCAGGGACACCTCCGCCTCCCCCTCCTTCCCTCCAGGAGGAGAACTCTGCACCTGCTCAGAGGCCATCCCATCTCTTCTCCCCCGGTGGAAAGGAGGCGCCTTTCAAACCCCCCTCTGCTTCCCTCCCTCCCTCCCTGCAATCTCGAGGGAGGAGAAGCCCTCTGCACGTGTTCAGAGGCAGCCCTACTATTCTTACCCGCTGGAAACGGAGCCGCTCTTTTCCTGCGATTTTAACAGATTGACAAGAGTTGGAAGGGACCTTGGAGGTCATCTAGTCCAACCCCCGCCCCCGCCGCTGTCCAAGCAGGAGACCCCACACCATTTCTGACAAATGGCAGGCCAGTCTCTTCTTGAAAGCCTCCAGGGATGAGGCTCATAGTCCTAAATGCAATTAACAGATTTCAAGGAGTTGGGGGGCGGGGAAGACCTCTGTACATGCTCAGAGGCGCCCCAGAGCCTTGGCAACTTTTTAAGAGGGTGTGGACTTCAATCGGACCGCATGCTAGGTGAGGAATTCTGGAAGTTGAAGCCCCCACATCTGGAAAGTTGCCAAGTTCCAAAAACACTGCTGTGCACTTAAGAATGCAATGAAGCCAAAGAAAATTGACTTCAGGTTGAAGCTTAGCTATAGAGCAGCCTCCACCAGAACAACTAGACCCAAATGCCATCACTCTGCTAAACAACTTGGTGATTCCTGATGAACCTATCTTTTCTTTTATGTACACTGAGAGCCTATGCACCGAAGACAAATTCCTTGTGTGTCCAATCACACTTGGCCAATAAAGAATTCTATTCTATTCTATTCTATTCTATTCTATTCTATTCTATTCTATTCTATTCTATTCTATTCTATTCTATTCTACTCTACTCTACTCTACTCTACTCTACTCTACTTACACTCTACTCTACTCTACTCTACTCTACTCTACTTACTCCACTCCACTCCACTTCCACTCCACTCCACTCCACTCCACTCCTCTCCCCATCCCATTACTGAGTGCCCATTTTACCATAGGATAACTGGGTGGTTTACAGTTACATATACAATGAAAACATAAAAAATTCTATTCTATTCTATTCTATTCTATTCTATTCTATTCTATTCCATTCCATTCATTCCATTCCATTCCATTCCATTCCATTCATTCCACATTCCATATACTCTATTCTATTCTATTCTATTCTATTCTATTCTATTCTATTCTATTCTACACTACTCTACTCTACTCTACTCTACTTACTCTACTCTACTCTACTCTACTCTACTCTACTCTACTCTACTCTACTCTACTCCACTCACTCCACTCCACTCCACTCCACTCCACTCCTCCACTCCACTCCACTCCTCTCCCCATCCCTAAAATTTACTGAGTGCCCATTTTACCATAGGATAACTGGGTGGTTTACAGTTACATATACAATGAAAACATAAAAATTCTATTCTATTCTATTCTATTCTATTCTATTCTATTCTATTCTATTCTATTCTATTCTATTCTATTCTATTCTATTCTATCCATTCATTCCATTCCATTCCATTCCATTCCATTATTCCATTCCATATACTCTATTCTATTCTTTCTATTCTATTCTATTCTATCTATTCTATTCTATTCTACACTACTCTACTCTACTCTACTCTACTCTACTCTACCTACTCTACTCTACTTCTCTACTCCACTCCATCCACTCCACTCCACTCCACTCCACTCCACTCCACTCCTTCCCCATCCCTAAAATTTACTGAGTGCCCATTTTACCATAGGATACTGGGTGGTTTACAGTTACATATACAATGAAAACATAAAAAATTCTATTCTATTCTATTCTATTCTATTCTTTTCTATTCTATTCTATTCTATTTATTCTACACTACTCTACTCTACTCTACTCTACTCTACTCTACTCTCTACTCTACTCCACTCCACTCCACTCCACTCCACTCACTCCACTCACTCCACCTCCCCATCCCTAAAATTTACTGAGTGCCCATTTTACCATAGGATAACTGGGTGGTTTACAGTTACATATACAATGAAAACATAAAAAATTCTATTTATTCTATTCTATTCTATTCCATTCCATTCCATTCCATTCCATTCCATTCCATTCCATTCCATTCACTAATTCCCACAACACTGTCAAACTATTCACTAAGACTAGTACTATTCTTCTTCTCATCCTTCCTATTACCTATCTCCTCCCACTTATGACTATAACCATGTTGCTTGTATTTTTACAATTTATATTGTTCTGTTTCCTAGTACAATTTGATTGCTTATTAGTAACCTATGACAATCATTAAGTGTTGTATCTTAGGATTCTTGACAAATGTATTCTTTCCCTCTCTTTTTTTTCCCTTTTTCCCCCCCCTTTTATGTACTCTGAGAGCCTATGCACCAAAGACAAATTCCTTGTGTGTCCAATCGCACTTGGCCAATAAAGAAATCTATTCTATTCTATCAACCCTGATGGCAAAGGCCAGAAGAAATGCAAACACAACTGTTAGCAAGGTTTTGTGTTGTGCAAGCCCTAGAATTTTGAAAAGTAAAAGATTGGTGCCATCTAGTGGCCATTTGGAGTCAGCATTTGAATAACAGAGTAAGAGTTGGAAGGGACCTTGGAGGTCTTCTAGTCCAACCCCCTGCTCTGGCAGGAGACCGTGTACAAGGGATGTTCAACCTTGGCAATTTGAAGACCTGTGGAATCCAATTTCTGGAATTCTCCTGCCAGCCATCGAAAAAACCAGCTGGGTGACTTTGGATCACTCCTTCTCTCTCAAGACCAAACAACCTCACAGGGTTGTTGTAGGGATAATCTGAAAGGAATATAAGGTACATTTGCCATCCTGGGTTATAAAAATAATACAGGTGAGGTAAAATATTAATATTAATATTAGTATTAATACTAATAATATTAGTATTAATACTAATACTAATACTTATTTATTTTATTTATTTATTTTATTAAATTTCTATATCGCCCTTCTCCCGAAGGACTCAGGGCGGTGAATAGCCACGAGATAAAACACATAAATACAAAAATTTAAAATGAATTAAAAATGAATTAAATAATTTGGCTGAAAATAATTTAAAATACCCCATAATTTAAAACAAATTAAAATTTACATTTAAAAATTTACATTTAAAAAGGGGAGAAGATTTAGGGCAGGCCAGCTTGATGGAATAGGAAAGTCTTAAGCGCGCGACAGAAGGTGCGCAGATCCGGGATCCTCCGTATCTCTGGGGGGAGCTCATTCCAGATTGTAGGTGCCCACACAGAGAAGGCTCTCCCCCTAGGGGCTGACAGCCAACATTGTTTGGCCGACGGCACCCGGAGGAGCCCCTCTCTATGGGAGCGTACTGGCTGGTGGGAGGCTATTGGTGGTATATTAATACTAATATTAATACTAATACCAATTTACTATTTATTAATATTAATAATAATAATAATAATAATAATTGATTACATCCAGAAAAGTGAAGAACCAATGATTAAGGAAGTAAATAAAGGAGGCCTTTTAAAGACAGCTAAAACAAAAGCAGAATATAAGAAAGAAGTAATTGAGCAGCGAGCTGAAAATTGGAAAAGCAAAGCTCTGCATGGCCAATACTTGAAAAGTATTGAAGGCAAAGCTGACCAAAAACTAACTTGGAACTGGTTAAGATCAGGAGTACTGAAAAAAGAAACAGAAAGCTTTATTTTGGCAGCTCAAGAACAAGCCCTAGCCACAAACTGCATGAAGGCAAAAATTCAACATGTTACCACCAACAGCAAATGCCGCCTCTGCAATGAGAAAGATGAGACAGTCGACTACCTGATCAGTGGGTGCAGCAAAATTTCACAAACTGACTACCTACAACGCCATGACAGCGTTGCTAAGATCATTCACTGGAAATTGTGCCAGAAGTTTGGATTTGAGTACAGCAAAAACCACTGGGAACATCAGGTTGAGAAAGTTTTAGAGAATGAGAAACTCAAGATCTTGTGGGACTTTAGGATTCAGACTGACAGGCACTTGGTCCACAACACACCTGACATAACAATAGTTGAAAAGAAAAAAGTATGGTTCATTGACATTGCAATACCTGGTGATGCACAGATTGAAGATAAACAGCAAGAAAAAATCACAAAGTACCGGGACTTGCAAATTGAAGTCGAGTGACTGTGGAAAAAGAAATCGTGTGTTGTCCCGATTGTAATTGGAGCCCTTGGAGCAATACCCAAAGGGCTACCCCGCTATTTAGAAATTCTAAATTTGCCGGACTTGAACATTTTGACTCTACAAAAAACCACCTTACTCGGAACAGCTTACATCCTCCGACAATACCTTAACAGTTTCTAGGTCCTTGGTTAGGACTCGAGCTGCTGAGCTATTAACCAGCCTCAAAGGCTGTGAATCTCACTAAAGATTAACCAATAATAATAATAATAAAACAGAGAACATTATAAAAACAACAGAAACAAATGCAGAATATAAGGAAAAACAGCTGGATGACCGATTAAATAGATGGAAAACCAAAGCTTTGCATGGACAGCACTTGAAAAACATTGAAGGAAAACGTGATGACAACTTTACATGGGCATGGCTTAAGATGGGAACCATCAAGAAAGAAACGGAAGGTTTAATACTGGCTGCTCAAGAACAAGCACTACAAACTAATGCCATGAAAGCAAAGATACAAAAATCCACTGACAATCCAAACTGCTGACTTTGCAACAACAAAGTCGAAACGGTTTCACATTTAATATGTGAATGCAGCAAAATCGCACAAACTGATTACAAAGCTAGACACGACCGAGTTGCTAAATTAATCCACCAGTCATTATGTAAAAAAATACGACTTTCCTGTAATCCAAAAAGTCATAAAGTGGAAAAAGTTATAGAAAATGAGAAGCTGAAGATCTTGTGGGACTTTCGAATACAGACGGATCGTCACTTGGAACACAACACGCCAGATATCACAGTTGTCGAAAACCGAAATGTACAATTTATTGACATTGTGGTACCAGGAGATGCCAGAGTCGAAGAAAAAGAACTGGAAAAAATCATGAAATATCGCGACCTGGCCATCGAAACTACACGGCTATGGATGAAACATGTCACAGTGATACCCATTGTCATCGGGGCACTTGGTACCATGTCCAAGAATTTTATAAGATACATCAGCAAATTGCAGCTTCCTGCAATAACACCAGCGGAACTGCAAAAAACTGCACTACTCGGAACATCTTACATCTTAAGAAGGTACTTGATTGATACCTAGGACGTTGGCAGCAACCCATATCAACCATTAGCACCAGTCAATGGTATTTGTGATGCATTTTTGAATGTTCAGTTGACTTGAGTTTCATGTTTAATGAATAAAGATAATAATAATAATACATCTTCTAATTGTTCTTTTTCTCTCCTCTGAAAGATGCTGGAGGACATGGGAAGATGTAGCTGGCCTTGTAACAATCAGCTGCATTGTCATAGTGGCATGGCCAACTATTTGCTTTTGATTATTCCCAACGTTTGAGTTCATCATCCCCATTTTCGAAGAACTGCACCGGCGTCCCGACCTCTGCCTTTCTCGGCCTCTTCCTCTCTGCTGCTTTTCCACAGGTTGTCTGGGTTTAAAGTTGGGTGGCCAAACTGGGCTTGAAGGAACACATGTGTCGGGGGAAGAAATGAGAAGAAGCAGAGTGTCAGGTGTGAAAGGCTTCTCAGCCGTTTGAACCTTTATCGCTATTCAACTGGGGGGAGGAGGGAGGGCGAGAAGGAATGCAAGACGATCCAAGAATAGACCGTGTGAGCCAAGAACCCCACCAAGGTCACTACTGCAGGTGTCCGATAAAGAAAGGAACTGTTCTCAAAACAAAAGACTGATTCTTTATTGGACGGTGTGATCCAGTAGTGAAATCAATTTTTTTTTTACCACCGGTTCTGTGGGCATGGCTTGGTGGATGTGGTGTGGCTTGGTGGGCGTGGCAGGGGAAGGATACTGCAAAATCTCCATTCCCACCCCACTCTGGGGCCAGCCAGAGGTGGTATTTGCTGGTTCTCCAAACTACTCAAAATTTCCGCTATTGGTTCTCCAGAACATGCTGGATTTCACCCCTGGTGTGATCTCTATGGGTGGAAAGAAACTAAATGTAGTTTAAACTAATGTTTAACTACGTAGCATTGCCCGGGAAAAACCTCAGAGCTGGTTTATAATTCTTCAGTACCGGAAATGGTATATCCAATAAAGTTTTATTTTTAGGATTTTAAAATGCTGGAGAGCGCCTATTTTGCTTAAGTGCGCTAGTCAGACGTTTGACACAGAGTGAGGGAGAGAGATTGTGCTAGAAGAAAAGTCACAATTAATTTTTTCCCCCCTCCTTTGGCTCCATCTTGTGGACAATTCCAGCCACTTGTGGAACACGGCTGTAGAGTTCATGTCAAGGCAGTTTTCTTAAACTGGTCAACGAATAGTTTTATCCATCTGTTTTTCTATGGCGTTGTTTTGTGGGTGGGTGTGTAGCAGAGGTGGGTTTCAGCAGGTTCTGACCAGTTCTGGAGAACCGGTAGCGGATATTTTGAGTAGTTCGGTGAACCGGTAGTAAAAATTCTGACTGGCCCCACCCCCATCTATTCTCTGCCTCCCAAGTCCCAGCTGATCGGGAGGAAATGGGGATTTTGCAGTAACTTTCACCTGGAGTGGGGAGGGAATGGGGATTTTGCAGTAACCTTCCCCTGGAGTGGGGAGGAAATGGGGATTTTGCAGTAACCTTCCCCTGGAGTGGGGAGGGAATGGGGATTTTGCAGTAACCTTCCCCTGGAGTGGGGACGAAATGGGGGTTTTGCAGTAACCTTCCCCTGGAGTGGGGAGGGAATGGGGATTTTGCAGTAACCTTCCCCTGGAGTGGGGAGGAAATGGGGATTTTGCAGTAACCTCATGGAGTGGGGAGGGAATGGGGATTTTGCAGTAACCTTCCCCTGGAGTGGAGAGGGAATGGGGATTTTGCAGTAACCTTCCCCTGGAGTGGGGAGGAAATGGGGATTTTGCAGTAACCTTCCCCTGGAGTGGGGAGGAAATGGAGATTTTGCAGTAACCTTCCCCTGCCACACCCACCAAGCCATGCCCACCAAGCCACACCCACAGAACCGGTAGTAAAAAAATCTGAATCCCACCACTGGCGTGTAGCATGGTTTTCATTTAATGCAGCACCTCGGAATGCCTATTTTTGAATCAAGTTACAGGACTTTTGAGAAGACAGAACAAAGACCAACCTCAGTATGTGAAAGTGGTGTGGGAGGGCAGGAGACAGAGACATCATAGAGCATAGAATCATAGAGTTGGAAGGGACCTTGGAGGTCTTACCTTCAGCAGTTTGGGATATTGCAGCCTGAAAATTCCTGTTCAGGTGAGTTGAAAGGACCATGAAGGGAAACAATAACAAGGATATAATAAATAATACTAGAATATGATATACTGATATACTAGATTCTGTAACCATTAGGTTCCTGTAATACATTTTATTCCTTTCTATTTGTATCTCCTGTAACAAACATATTCTGTTATTAGGCCTGTAATGTATCTGGTATTTGTCAAACCTTGATAGTACAGTGGTCTAAGCACCCTGTTATTGACACAGCTGCCTGCAATTTACTGCTGGTTAGAATCTCTCCAAGGCTCAAGGTTGACTCAGCCTTCCATCCTTTCTAAGGTAGGTTAGAATGAGGACCCAGTTTGTGGGGGCAATAAGCTTTGTATAAATATAAAAAGTATGAAGGCTATTGCTTAATGCATTGTAAGCCGCCCTGAGTCTCCGGAGAAGGGCGGCATATAAATCAAATTAAAAAAACAACAACAAATAAACATATGTCCCTGCCATTTGACCTGAACCCATATCAATCTTCTTCCTGTTTTTCTTGTGCTATCTAAAAGCATGGTCCGTTATCTCAGTTGAAACTACAGCCATCAACAAAGGGATAATTTACACCTCAGCCCTAATTTATGTTTGATTTGGATAGACTCCTACTTTCCAGGGCCAGGGGGCCAAAGTGGCCAATTGAGTAAACAAAGAAATGCTCAAGATGACTAATTGGGAAGTTTCTATTCCCCCTTGCAGGGCAACAAGGAATACACAAACCTAAATTAGGAGGCCAGAAGTGGATACTAAGCTGATGTCTCTGAGGGTATAAAAGGACGCCATATCTTCCCCAAGGTGTGGCTATCTCCTCGCATGCATTGTATCTGTATGTTCTGGATATAGTTCCACCCAGTATTTTGTTTTTGGCCATAAATAAAATCTGTTTTTTTTTTTTTTGCAAGCCTCGTCTTGAGTCTCTCTCTTTGGCATTCTGGTGACTCAAGTGTATTTTGGGACCTTACAACTATCTAAGCAAACCTCATTCTTTTACACCAAGCTTACCATGTCTTGGTCAAGAAAGCCATCAAAACAGCATCTGGTACTCTGCTTCCCTTTAAAAATGCCATTTATAATTATATTAATGGAAAGCAGAAAGTGGTATCTCTTTCCCACCCCCCCCAAATGTGTAGGTGTGTGTATTCTGCAGGAAATTAATGAAATGGAATACACTACACACACACACTCACCACCAGAGGGCAGGAGAAGAAATAATGATTGGACACTAAACAAGGAGAGAAGCAACTTGGAATTGAGGAGAAACTTCCTAACAGTGAGGACAATTAACCAGTGGAACAGCTGGCCTCCAGAAGTTGTGGGTGCTTCATCACTGGAGGCTTTTAAGAAGAGACCAGACAGCCACTTATCTGAAATGGTATAGGTTCTCCTGCTTGAGTAGGGGGCTGGACTAGAAGACCTCCAAGGTTCCTTCCAGCTCCTATTCCTATTCCTATTCCTATTCCTATTCCTATTCCATTCCATTCCATATTTTCTATTCTATTCGATTCCATTCGATTCCATTCCATTCCATATTTTCTTTTCTATTCTATTCTATTCTATTCTATTCTATTCTATTCTATTCTAGTCTAGTCTAGTCTAGTCTAGTCTAGTCTAGTCTAGTCTAGTCTAGTCTAGTCCAGTCCAGTCCAGTCCAGTCCAGTCCAGTCCAATTCCATTCCATTCACAAAGCTTTTAAGAGACTGGTTGAGTTTCCTCCACGTAGTGCATGTAAATGATCCAACCCCTTTGGGCTGCAACCTGGAATCTTGTGGAAATCCAGTTAGCCTTTCCCTTTCAAAGGTGATGTCATTTTGGGGAAGTATAGGTTTGTAGTCCTCTACAAAGAAAACAGAGAGGAAAGTGATGAGACTTCTTGCTCTCAATTGCCTCTCCATAAAGGTGTGATTTGGAAAGGATGACTTGCTGCAACTAGACTAGACTAGTTTAATCTAGTCTAGACTAGAACAAAACAGAACAGAACAACAGAGTTGGAAGGGACCTTAGAGGTCTTCTAGTCCAACCCCCTGCTTAGACAGGAAACCTTATACCATTTCAGACATATGGTTATCCAATCTCTTCTTAAAAACTTCCAGTGTTGGAGCATCCACAACTTCTGGAGGCAAGTTGCTCCACTGATTAATTGTTGTCACTGTTAGGAAATTTCTCCTTTATTCCAGGTTGCTTCTCTCCTTGATTAGTTTCCATCCATTGCTGCTTCTTCCTTCCCTCTTTCCTTCCCCTCTTCCATCTGTCCTCCTTATTTTCCATCTGTCTTTCTTCCCTCCTTCTCCCTCCTTCTTTTCTTCTCTCCTTTCTCCCCTCTGTCACCTCCCCTTTTCCTTCCTTCCTTCCTTCCTTCCTTCCTTCCTTCCTTCCTTCCTTCCGTCCATCCATCTATAACTCTTCATTTCTGCCAACTTCTGGCAATTTTCTCTTTTCAAAATCATTTTCTTTCTGAACCTTGTAATTGTTTGAGTTGAAATGATTTACCTGTTTGGTTTTGCCCGTGTTTTGATTTTTCTTAAAATCAGTTGTTTGTGTTTTTAATCTGGAAGTTGATTTGAGACAGCCTTTCTAAGAGAGAAAGAACAGAGAAAGGAGGACAGCAGAACTTAAAACAAACTTGGCTGGCCAGAAAATCCTTCTCATTGAAAGCTAGAAAAGAAAAACAAAAACAAAAGAAAATTACATACTTTGGGAAAAAGACTTTCTGACAAGTATGATAGAGTAAGGAGGAATTGATAACCAAATACAAGAAATGTGATACAAAGAGAAATAAAGAACGTGTTCAGAATTCTGACTGAAGATTTTAAAGAAGCAAAGTGTTCTGGGAAAATAAAAAGGGGTCTCTGGAACATAGGTTTCCCCCCCCCATCTGATTTGCTGACCCTTCAGAGGTGCAGGACTAAAGCTCCCATCATCCCCTATCCATGCATCCAGTTTGGGCTCCCTGCAGCTTTCTTCTTAGGTTCTCCGAAGCCGTGCCC